GGTACTCAGTCCTCCAATGGATTTGCAGTGTGGGAGAGAAATATGAGTGGATAATGTAACGATCACGTGGTAAGAACATATTGGAAGTACATGCGGGGCATGAGAAAGCTGCGACATGCTTTCAAGCTCCTGTGCATGCAGTTACCTCTGCCCACTGCCCGCTCCACCTTTTTCACTGGAGAGCCACAATATATCCTTCGACATTGAACTTGGGCTTGACTTCCTCCAAGAGGCCTTCCCTGAGCTCTCGGGCCGAGTCAAATGTTCCAACTCTGGGCTTCACAACACCCAATACTCATCTCTCTTGTCACATGCACCAAATGATAGTGACATTTTCTGTGTATCTGTCTGTCTCCTAGTCTAGCTGGAATTCCAGTAGGACAAAGACCATATTATGTTCATCTGGTCCATAATATTTGTTACACTACCGAATCCCCTTCTCTCCTATTATGTTGAAAATTATTTGAGGGCAGGATCCAAGTCTACTCACCTGTGTGCACCTAGCATGGCAGCAATGCTTCAAATGCAATACATGTGGGGTTCTCGCCTTTCCCCACAACCATATTCGCGCACCTAGCACGGCAGCAATGCTTCAAATGCAATACATGTTTGACTAACCAATGTGGGGTTCTCGCCTTTCCCCACAACCATATTCCCAGCTCCCTAGTATCTCTTAGTCTTTCAGATGACTAATCATATGATCAAATATTGGGAAATATTAATACTTTTTTCTCTTAAGGGATAATTTTTTAAAAAGGTAAAACCATGACTTCCATGCAAATATAACATAAACACTGTCAAAAATTTTATTTAACATCTTAATTAATGAGGAAAGCAGTAAAATCTTATGACTGGATCAAAGAAGAAGTAAAACTATTGCACTTAGGTCAGTGGGGAATGCTGAAATGAATTTACAAATGTCGCAAAACTGGCTTTTTCCAAAAAAGATGGGCGGGTAAAGAAGTCAATTGTCTCTCTATGGGGCAGTATTCATTTCCATGTCTGTGGTCAAGATCACTTACTGTACCTTACTATCAATTATCTACAATTTACAAAGTTGTAAACTAGTTCCAAGACAGTGAAAGGTGCAGAGACCCCACTGAGTCATGTAATTTAGAAGGGTAAATTGGAAAATACTGAAGGCTTTCTAGTTCTATTCCCAGTAATCTTTTTGGCCGATTTCAAAGTCCTTGACAATTTTTCCCTAGACTGCCAAGAGAAAGAAGTATGCAGATGGGTGGGTGAGGTGGCAGAGGTTAGGTTTTTAAAATTCCGATTGTAAAACTCTCCGTCAGAATAAACAACTCAAGGCCAATGAATGACTAGCTCTTGTAAACTCTAAAATGGTATTACATTTTGAAAAAGAGCCACAGACTATTTTGGTGTGTTTCACAATCTGCTCTTTCTGACTTTTTACTTCCTTTTACTTTTTAAACCGCTTCATGCTGGATTCACATGTGATTCTCAGATAGTGCCTTTTAATTTATGTTTTGGAACTGTAAAGCTTTAATTAACTTTTTTTCTGATTTAAAAGGAATTTCTATGTAGAATCCTTTCTGTTAAACTCAACTAGGATGAATTTTTTTTTTATTATAGAAAGTTTCAAGCACATATAAAAGCACAGAGGATGCTATGATGAGTCCCCATCACCCAATCTGAATATCATTAACTCTTTGTGTCCACCTATTCCCTTGCCTCCCCATCACTGTGAAGCAAATTCTAGACATGTCATTCCACTTGTAAATACTTTCGTATATATCTCCAATACAAGGACTTTAAAAGGCAGCATCATTTCGATGCCATTATCATATTTAAATAATTCCATAAAATCATGAAAGGTCATCAGTCACTGTTCATATCTATTTTCTTAATTTTCTTTCCTTTCTTTTATAATTTGCCTGTTTGATTTGGAATCCAAATAATGTCTACACCCAGCCACTGGTTGCTAACTCTTAAATCTCTTTTAATCTGTAAGTTCCCCCTCTATCTTCTTCTCTCCTGCAACTTAGTTTTTGAAGAAAAGAGATGGTTTGTCCTGTAGAGTTTTCCCCAGTTTCAATTTTGCTGATTACATCCCTATGGTGTCCTTTACTATGTTCCCCTGTCCCCTGCACTCATTGTGGTTTAATAGGGGCTTGATCACATTTAGGTTCCATAATTTGTCACAAATATATCATAAGTTGTATTGGATTTCCATCAGGAGGCACGTTGGCTGGTTGTCTCTCTCTTTGCGATGCTAATAACCATTGGTGATTATATTCTAGATCTATTAATTCATCGTGGGTTGCAAAATGGTGGTATTTCCAACTCTACTATTCCTTCTTCATTTATTACTAGAATTTCTTCACTTCTTCATTAAAATTTTTCCAAAAAAAGAACTTCCTTATCGTAACTATTTGTTACCCCACAGTCTGTGGTTTGCATGAGAAAGGCAGGATATACACTCAATTCTTTTCAGTTTTCAAAATAATGCATTGTTTCTTTAGCGTTCTGCAAAGCGCTTGGCTTTTTATTTATGGTTTTTTAAAAAATTTATTTATTTTATTTTATTTTTAACATTTTATTTTTTTATTTTTCCCCCTTCCCCAGGGCTTGGCTTTTTAAATATCATGATGAATTCATGAATATAAACAGTTAGGATTTTCAGTATTTTGAGTGAATTATCTCTGTCGATACTCAGAGGGATCCATCCTTGACCACTAGGAGCCTCTCCCTGAGCATTCGTGACCTGACCTACAGCTTCTGGGAACTACCTTGTTTTCTAGTGTGACAATGTGCTCCAGACCATCCTGTACATTTCCTTCCCATGCTCATTTTTCACACAATCTTGGTTCCTTTTGGTAGGAAGTAGTATTTGGAAATCACGATCTGAGCATTAGGGATGTTCTTGCCACTCAGTTAATTATTATTCTAGGCCTTTTCAGTGGACAGAGTTAGGTGTTTTTTAAAGATAAAACACATCCCTTAGTTCATATGAATTTAAATGTAGATATATATCCTCACTCATTTCTAGATATATAAAAACAAGTTATACCAGTGATTTGTAAACTCGAGTGCGTTTCAGAATCACCTGGAGGGCTTGTTAAAACACAGATATTGGGTTGTACCCCAGAGTCTCTGATTTAGCAGGTCTGAGGTGGGGCCCTAGAATTTGCGTTCTAACAATTCCTAGATTCTGCTGGTCCAGGGACCACACTTTGAGAATTACAGTGCCATAAACACTTTTATCGACTCCCCCTGCCCTGCCCTGCCCCTCCCTAGTAGTACTATTTATTCTTCATTTGCTTTTATTGCTTCATAATACTATGTGAATATACTATGGTTCATTCAACCAGCTCCTTGTTTATGAACATTTGGGCTATTTCTATATATTGTATATATTCTAAACATGTATTTGTTTGTATACTATACATAATATTCCATATTTTATATACATGTATACAGTAACAATTATTACTGCAAAGAATTTTGACACTGTATCTTTGGAGTAGATATCTGGAAGTCGAATTGCTGGATTAAAGGGTGAATTCGGATGCAACTGCACTAGATGTAGCCAGATTTCCTTCCACAGGCTCTGGGCCATTTTGTTTTCCCGTAACTACGGGAGTGCTGTTTCTCCATGGCTTCACCAATTTAGTAAGCTGCCAAATTTTCAAGCATAGTAAAAAAAAAAAAAATCGATACGAGTTGCCAACTTCTAAAAGTTAGAAGATAAAAATATCTTGATTTCTGGCTTCTCCTGAAAAAGTACCAGATCCACTGGCCCTGGGCCCACAGGTTCACATGACACTTATGTCCCCAGAAGATCAGGCAATATCTAAATGTCTACAGCCTCCACCTGGGCCTGTTCATGCACGGCATTCATCCGTTTAGCTCCTGAAGGCACTGGAGTATCCAGCCCTGGCTCCGTGGACAAGAAAAGTAAAATGATTTGCCCGAGGTCTTCCGGTAAATTAGTGTCAGACTGGAGCCTTTCTCTGGGTTTGCTCACACATTCTCTGTTTCTTGCTTCTTCCTTCCTGCTTCCTGCTACACTCAACCTGGGACTGGCCACTATCAGGCTGACTTTCCTCAGATTTTAAGATCATTTGAAACACCCAACTTAAAAACAATAGCCTCAATGAAAAGATGTCTAAATTACATCATATTTTTGACCTACACAGACCTGTCCCTGATAAAGCCTCAAGACTTCTGTGCAATTAAATTTCTGTGCATTTCATGACATCATGGCTCCATTGCTACCTTAGAGAGTTTTGATTTAAAACAGCTATATATTCTTAACACAGAATCAAATGCATATATGATCTTAGCTTTATAAGATCTGTGGACAATTCAAACAATAGTTTCCTACAAAAATCAAAAGCCCCTACTTAGTTAACCCTTAAATGCCTATTACTTTATGATATATGCCAGCCCAAATCCTTTTTCAGAAACAGGAAAAAAGGCCATGATACGAAATTATGCAAAAACAGAATTTCTTTCTGATTACTCAAATCTCTCAAATTGCAATTAGAGATGAGGTAGAAATGAGACGTTTAATTATGAAAGAACGAAAATATAAGCTAGTCAGGGCTGGCCAATTGAGCACATAGGGCACTCAAATGTTTACTAAATAAATAACCAGAGTTAAAAATCTGTATGATTTGAGGGTTTCTTCTGCCACAGGATCTCTCTCTCTCCCTTCCCCCCCCTCGTCTCTCTCTTCTTTTAATAGATTCCTGGTGTGTATACATAGCAACATGAGCTCACACACACACACACACACACACACACACACACACGCACACACACTGATTCCTGAGAAATTTTCACTGGACATTATGAGAAAGGTTTAATATGTAAATAGCACTTTGATAAGCTAACATTGATCCGAAGTCACTCCTGTGATATGAATACTGGGTATCAGCACTTTCTTGGGGATACTTTCACTAGAGGGTGGCGCGTGTGTCACATGCACACGCACTTGTATGTTCGTGTCTGGGCACTGAAGGGACGAAGGTGCCCGTGGGGAGGAAGGCCATGCATCAAGGGAGAGGGTGAGGTTAATAAGGGCAGGTTGGGTCTCTTAAGACGAACTTTGCCTGCCCACTACATGTTGGCCAGGGTCAGCCAAGCTGACGGTCGAAATAAGGGATGGAAATGAGTGTGGAGGTGAAGGCAAGTAACAGAGGTAAACTTGTTCCAGGTGTTTCCAGAGTCCTAAGAACAGACAGATGCTCAGCTAGGAGACAGCGTGGCCTGCCCAGTAGGGACCTTTTATCTTTATCTCTGAAGAGATGGCCTCGGTGCCCCTAGTTTGTCTCTACGAGCAGCATGTAAGAAGTACGTACTGAGTTCTCCTCTCGTCAGCAAAGATTTCTGTAACCTACACAGACCGCAAAAGCGAGGTCAGAGATAAATCTCTGTGTGAGCCCCAGCGATTCAGATAAAGGACGAAGTCAACTGCCAGCTTCATTTCTTTCATTAATGACTTCTCAATTAAAGCAATTTTCCATTCCTCCCCAGAGTTGAGCAGCTGGTTGTGTTTCAGAAAACCTAACATCTTCTAAATGTCAGGGTGCTGAGTGAAAAGCACGTTGTGCCAGAACCAAACACTCCTCACAATTCCCTACTCACATGTGAGAGTGTGGAGTGCTGAAGTCGGTCTTCTAATTAAACTTGGCAATATTACAATAAAAAATAAGATTTGGGAGTTGGCAACATGGCACATAAACAAACTTTTATGTGAATAATTAAGCCAGAGCTAAGCATATGCTGGACCGTCTTTAATCAACTTGTGATTACAGCTACCAGTAAAAGCCCAAACGCTTCCAAAAGCCTCCATGTTGTTTATGTGCTGTGGTTATTTTAACATACATTTTTTGATATAGTTGGCATATCTTTTTACCCATTCCTCCCGCTTTCATTTTCCTTCTCTTTTTCAATTCCTTACCCTTTAGAAGAATTAATTATGACACAGGCAACTTGCGAAAAGACTTGGGAGGGTAAGAATGTGTGCACAAACACTTCACAAGTTAACACACAGACACCCATACCCACCCACAAAGTCAGCAGTGTTTTATACACAGGGCCTTTAAGGAACCACATTTTAATAAAACCCAGAGTGTTATGCTTGGATTCAAAACCATTGGAGGGATCTGCAGCCGTCATAAATGACCCTGCGGAAGAAGTCCAGAGCCAGGTCAGGCTGGCAGGACATCTCCAAGTTCCCACTGGACTTCAGAGCTCTAAACGAGGTGCTAATTCCCAGCTGGTCCAAAAGCTTTGCTGTGAACTTTGCTTAAACCTTCGGATGTGTGAAACCACAACGGCAGAAATCGCACAAAGTTTTGCTTCAAAATATTTTCTGCTAGAGGTTTTCCAAACAGAAGCTGCGGAATTTTTCAGAAAAGCTTAGGATTCTATACAGAGTAGGTAGCATGTGGAGAAAGCAACTCCGTGAAGGGCTGTCTTCAATGTCTCTGAATTGTGTCTCCTATCCAGGTACAGAGTACGAACCAGCTGTCATTTACGCTTTAAAAGTCAAGTCCTTTCCTTGTGTATCTCTAAACCATCAATGCCGCTTAAGAAAAATGTAGGACAATGAGGGTGCATTTTGAAGATGAAAGAGATCAATTCTGCCCCTCTTTATCCTCCAAAATGAGAATTATGTAGCCGAGGCTAGTGCCATATATTTTATATATAAAATATTTATATTCTAACAGATTTTTGTCACTGGCCTGGTTGTATTTTATACATATTTATTTTTCTAATATTCTTCTATTCTGGACTCTTCTTCTCTTAATTTAAAGATTTTTTCTAGGAAAGATGAATAACATCATTCAATTAGTACATAAGTTCCAGGGACAACTACTAAGTTAGTATTTCCTAACTTATTGAGAACAATAACAGTATTTTTTTCCCTTGCTGGTTAACAACAACAAAAAAGAGTGATTGAGCTTAGTGGCTCACTTCACCCAACATGGAACAAACGAGTCACTTTAACTTTAAAGTGAAGACAGTCTGTCCTCTGTATCTGTCTCAGCTGGCCCAGGAAGGTGACTTCTGCTTACCTTGGACACGAAACATTCTGCTATGGCCACGGGATCATTTTCACAGTTTTCTAAATCTTGCAGGAGTTCGCTAACGAAAAAAAATAATAGAAAATATTAGATAGGAGTCTTATGGTTGAGAACATTTTACATAACTTAGAAGTCTAAACATTTGTTTGGTTTTTACAAGAAATCAGACTTAATTGGATAACTGAGGACCTCTTATCATTATATCCAAGGCTTAGATAAGGGACTTGCCCAAGGTCATGATGGAGCAGGAATTTAAACACAGGCCTGATTTATAACTCACCCAGAGATTAGCCCTGACTACCATTTAAGTCTTCTAGATGTTTGTCACTGTCACATGTGTGTTCACACACACTCATTCATTCACCAAACAGCTGTCTAGCTACAAAGTACTTGCAAGGCACTAAGAGCAAATATGTCAGTGAACAAAGTGGCATAGGCTCTCTGGTGTCTCGGAGTTTGGACTCCATTGGAAGGGCTAGTGCTCTAAAGGAAAAATATGTAGGAGAGGAAATACCTTTTCTCAGATGTAAATTTGAAGTAACTTTCACTATAATTCATCATGTGGCTGTACTGTAATTAATTTAACGAATTTCCCACTGTTGGATAAAATTCTACATATGAAATTACTGGGTCAGAGGGTGTTCTCAGTGCAAATGTTAACACATTTCCTAATTGCACTCCATACAAGTTGTATTAACATATATTTTACTATGTTAAGTGTTTATTTTAATTAGCTGTGTATTAAATATTCAATAAAAGGTTAAGTAGTTCTATAGGAGTAATAATAAAAACAAGCAGTTTCCTGCATTCTGCGTCCTAGTCTTGACTTCCGCTCTCTAGAAGCATTTTCGATTCTAGCTGTTTCTGCTAGAAACATGTCTCCAAATTTCGAAACACGTTGATAGTGCATTTTCATTATTTTTCAGTTTTAGATATTATTTGCTTCCGAATTTCCCCCAAATTTGCCCTCCTCCAATTCTCAACAAGTTCTGTTATGAAATTTGATTAAAATTAAAGCTTACATTTTTAGAACTATGTAAATATTATTTTCAGCTGAGCCTTACAGTATACACCATAATTACATTTCCTTTCTGGTATAACCATGTTTTCCCTCGAGTTAAAATTTTCAGAGATACATATGTGTGTGTGTGTGCATGTGTGTGTGTGTGTGTGTGCGTGTACAAAACAAAGCATATATATATGTTGCTTTGTATCAAAGTACACACCTCTAATTTACCCTCAGACTTTGTGCCAGAAGTATGACGTTCGTCTGTCTTCAATCATCAGATCATCTATACACTCTGGTTTCTCCTCAGATTGCATAAATTTTTCATCAGATCATCTATCGGTTGCATTCTCTCCTGGTGACCTCCCTCCAGCAGCCCTCCATCTTTCGGTTCTCACTTGAACAGGTTTCCCTCCAGGCCTGCTGGGCACTGTCTCCAACAGCATCCCGACAACACCCTTTCTCTAGCTTCTTTGTTGGAAGCCTCGTTTCTCAGATACCATTTCGGATGTCTTCCCTCGTCGGGGAGATTACAACACCCAGCGGCTTTCTGAGTAGGGGTGATTTATTGCAGCAGTACATTTTCTGAGACTCTTATTTCAAAATGTTCTCCCTTCACACTTGGCTGATAATGTTAATAGATATAGAATTCTTGATTGGAAGTCCTTTTCTTTGAGTATCTGGGAAACTATGTTGCCTCATGAATTCCAATGCTGCTGAGAATAGTATCGTTTTGATCCATGATCCAGGTTTTGTGTGACTTATTTTTTATTCTGGAAGCTTTGAGAGTTTTCTTTTGGTTGACATAATTCTGCGACTGTGTGATGAGAGGCCTTGAGATGGGTCTTTTTTCACAGACAAAACCAATTTGAACATTTGAGAAATTTTCTAAAACGTCAGTTCTCAAAGTGACTCCTGGGTTCCTGAGACCCCTTCAGGAGGTTGAGAAGGCCACTATTTTCATAAACATACTTAGACACTACATTCTCATTCTCTCATGAGAGTATGATGGACATTTCCAGAGGCTACATGATCTGCGATATCCTAATGGAGAGAAAGAAGAAGCAGGTATGACAATCCAGCTGTCTTCTTGTAATCCCGACAGTAAAGAGATTTGTAAACTATAAAAACAACTCCTATGTACCAAAAATGTTAGTGAGAAGAGTAGTAAAATCATTTTCCTAAAAATCTGTGGGTTTATTAATATTATTGAATAAACTGATATTTTAACAACTTCTCAGTTTTAATATCTATCACGGTAAGCAAAACGTCTTTTTGGGTCTTTAGTCATTTGTTAGCGTGTACAGATCCTGGGACCAAAAGGTAGGGAATCTCTGTCCCTAAATCATGTCCTTGGTATGTCCTCCCCTCCATTTTCTCCTCTCTCTCTTTTCGAAGCTGCTGTTATTCCCATTTTAGATCTCCTGGTCGGATACTTTATGTTTTCTGATTCTTCTTCTCTTGTTTTCCCTCTTCTTATTTATTGTTCTGTTTTCTGGGAAATTTCATCTTTATTTTCCATCGCTTCTATTGAATTTTCTCATTTTTAATTTCAAAGTTTTTTTTTTTTAAATAAGCTCTTTGGATGTTTCTGTTCTTATTTTACAATGTAAAATATTCTCTCATCTCCGAAGGTGGGGGTGTTGTTATTATTTTGGACTTCTCTTGCCTGTTCCTTGCTTTTTGCTGAGCTCCCTTTTCTGTTGGATCATGATGGCTTCTGTCATTCACGTTAGAGGCTTTCCCCAAGTATCTGGGGATCTTCGTTTGTCTTTTTCTATTTGCAGATGAGGCACCACAATGCTGAACATAAACTTTGCAGAAGCAGAATTTGTCATGGGGTGCTCCTCACTCAAGGCAGTGGTTCTCAAACTGTTGGTGTTAGAACCTGTCTATGCTCTTAAGCGTTCTTTACGTGAATAATATCTATTGATATTTCCTACATTAGATAATTAAAACAATTAAAAATCAGTATATTTAATAATAAATCTAATTATATGCTACTATAAATAACTTTTTGTGAAAAATAACTATAAAATCAAAAAATATTGGTCATAGTATCGTTTTACATTTTTGCAAATCTCTAATGTCTACTTTAACACAGATGGATTCTCACATCTACTTCTGTATTCAGTCTGTTTCAATCTGTTGGTTGAAGTATATAGAAAAGAAATCCGGCCTCATATACATGTCATTCGAAAAGGAAGGAATATTTTAATAGCTCTTCAGATAAGTATGGATATCCTTCTTGGAAATCACACTAGAACTCAACAAGTGGTAGTTTCTTCTATATTTGTTGGAGTCTAGAACCATATCAATGTACTATACTCTGTTACTTTAAAATTCATCGATCTGTCTTGTATTTTGAAAGGATCTTCTACCCGATGCATGGTTCAGAATAGTCCCAATTTCAAACATTCTTTCCTAATATTCCTATAAAAACATTCTCTTTGTAAGATTATTTTTATTTTGGAAAAACGTAGTTCTGACATTTATATTAATATCTTTATAGGAGAACTTGAGATCTGGCTCCTCAGTATATGTCATCAGTTTGGCTCAAATAAACTCTTATACAGATTAAAACAAAACAAAACCTTTTATAGAAAGATGGGTATGATTAAATTAAACACAGTTGAAATCTAATCATTGGAACCTAAACATTGGATGAAGATAAAAGGTTGAAAGAAAAGAATAGCCAAAGAATCAACATTTTGGACCAGTGTTTTCTGTTACTGGAGGATGAAGTACTCTGGATATAAGTTTTGTATCCAGGTCTTTCAATATAAATCCTCTTTCTGAACCCAGAAGAATTTTGACCAGAATCCATCATATTACTTCTCATAGCTTAATAGAAATACTCCTGACAATGCTTAACTCCCTGTGTTCTAAATGTTATGCTCATCAAGCTCCCCAATGAGCTTTAATTTCATCTCCAGAGTGGACTTGCTGGTAGGAAGAAGTGTCGCAGGGGACCCACCCAGGCTCTAGGTAAAGCTCATGTGTAAATAAATGATTGGCATTCATTGCATAAGAACCGCACAGCTGGGAGTTTGCTCAGACACCTTCCAGTCCCAACCTCTAATTTTAAGGTGGGGAAACCATGGCTCATAAAAAGGAGGAGGCTTACCTTAGGTTACACAGCTAATATCTAATGGCCACAGCTGAGGTTAGTATCGGGGCTCTGAATTCTAGTCCTGTACTCTATTATAAACACGTCTGTTGAAAGATTTGTTTGCTGATCGATTCAAGAAAGCTAAGGGCTAAACTCTGCATCATGGTGTCATAGATGTGGTACGGCTTACCTGGGAGGCCTTGTTCGAGTCACTTGGCCAGTTTTCCTTTATAACTCTTTTCTAAAATAGGATAAAACATACTAAAAATGGGAAGAGTGAGGAGGAAGAAATGGGATTTCTTCCATATTCTTGCCATCAGGGCTGTCATCCTGATAGAGTTGGCCCAACGCCTGGTTTGTTCTTCATTCAACACAGTGGCTATTGAAATCTTCCTGTGTCAGGCACTGTTACAGACCCTGAACTTATAGGCAAAGAACATGGACAAAGGCCCTGTGTGATGGCGCTTATGTTCTGATCAGGGGTGATAAGTGTTAATAATTAAGTAAATGAACAGCACAATATCAAACAAAGGACAACAAATGTTGGCAAGGATGCAAGGAAATGGATTTTTGTACACTGTTGGTGGGAATGCAAAATGGTACAGCTGCTATGGAAAGCAGTATGGAAATCCTTCAAAAAAGTAAAAATGGAACTACCATATGATCCAGCAATCCACTTTTGGTTATTTATTCAAAAGAATCAAATCCGCATCCTAAAGTGATATGAACATTCCTATGTCCACTGCAATAGTATTCACAATAGCTAAGAGGTAGAAATAGCCTAAACGTCTATGAGTGGGTGTAGCTGCTATGGAAAGCAGCATGGAAATCCTTCAAAAAATTAAAAATGGAACTACCATATGATCCAGCAATCCACTTTTGGTTATTTATTCAAAAGAATCAAATCCGCATCCTAAAGTGATATGAACATTCCTATGTCCAC